ATAAAACTATAAACTCCAACCATAAAACGGTCAGCTAAAGTCAGCTCCTGCAAATGAGAAAACACAAAAACACGCATTTGCCTGGGAAGATGTTTTTATCAATTAGATTACGAACTCGAGATTTCTATCGCGTGATAATTGACTCGGGCTGCGCCCTCGTCAATTATCACGCGATAGAAAACTTTAATCTAAATCCTCTTCAAAGACTCTTAGAAAACGCAAAGAAGCGGCCTCCAACGCACACTGCTACACTGCTCACTATCTTCAACAGAATAGATAGTGTGTAGCGTAGCCAGAGAACGGCATTCGTGATAGAACGTTAGTAGATTTATACTAAAATGTTATCATGTTCAAATTTTTTCGATATATCAGTGATCGACGTAATATGTTCTCCAATTTCTTCGACATTGGTTGCAATTGTGAGAGATTTTCAAACATTACGCGTACAATATAATACCACCTATACTTATTGTGGGATTTCTTTTCTGCTGCGAGCAAAATAGACTGATAATCAACAGCGTTTCTTATAATTTCTCTGGTAATAACACCATGCTCTACAAATATGGTAAGCGTGCGCGAAATTTCTGGAGCCGTTTTCATTTTTATTTTGTTTTCTATATTTTGGGGGAGTTTTTAATAAAACAGTNACCATGCTCTACAAATATGGTAAGCGTGCGCGAAATTTCTGGAGCCGTTTTCATTTTTATTTTGTTTTCTATATTTTGGGGGAGTTTTTAATAAAACAGTCATTCCACCGGCCCTTGTTGGATCAAGTCAGATGTTATAGCCAGCTCGGTGCTACGCGACTTGTTGGCTATCTATCACCTAAGGCTCCGTTCACACTACGCCGGAGAAATTTGAAAACGGTGTTTTCATTCCGAAAGCACATCGAATGTTTTCCGTCCACACTACGCCGGAGAAATTTGAAAACGTAACAATCACCGCCCATTCTGGATTTGCGTCCTAGAAAACTCGGGCAGGAAAATCACGTGATTATCGCGACGTCAGCGTTTTCGAAAAGCTCTGTTTTCAAAATGTTTTCCGTCCACACCAAAACGTAAAGCCCGCGTTTTCATATTCGTCTGCTTTGAAGAGTGTTTTCGAAGACATTCCGTTTTCGTGACGGATTAGTGTAGACGGTAGGCTTAACCGTGGAAATAAAGCTGTGTTTTCAAATTTCTCCGGTGTAGTGTGGATGGGGTCTCATATCCGAATGGCGCACGTGTAATACCTTTTAATTATCAATTGTTGTAACTCCAATTTTTTAGATATAACACTACGAGAAAACTCACCGGGGTATCAGGAGTTTGTTCACTGACAGTGGCATGAAACATAACGGCGGACACTAACAAGGAACTGCGAAAAAACAAAAATAAAACAAAACAACGAATAAACAATTGACAAATGAGTCACCGTTAAACTGAAAAAGAAAACATCGCTGTGGGAATATCTGCGATTAACTAAGGTACAATGGCGTTTCTGTTTATCTTAATACTGACACAAGGTTTGTTCGGGACGCCGCAATTGTTTTCGATGAGCAAAAGTGTTTCAGAAATTTCTTCCGCAACAAATGCTTTCCTCGTTTGTCCGCCGAGAAAACGAAATGAACCAATCAGGCCTCGAAGCGAAAACATGCAATCCGTGCCACGGGTGGAAGCCAATTCAACGTTGGCTTTGATTTTGCTCCGGATTGGTCGAGAAAAGAGCATGATGGCTGTGATTGGGTAGAGACTGAGTATGGTGCACGAGTTTTTCTTTGAACCAATAGAGTGTCAGTAACACAAAGCAAAACCCTATTAAATTACATTCAACACTTGAAAACTGCTGTAATTTGGCGCGTTTTACAGCCCTTGTTTCCAGTAAAATATTCGTGGTTCACCTAAAATAGTGGCAAAACAATTTCCCGTTTTCCGAAGGTTTGCTATGTTTTTGCTCAGCCACAGAAAAAGCGTAGAATTGTTTCTGAGACAAATCGTTTCAGATACTTCCAGTAGAAAAAAAAACCCAAATCCAACTGAACTTACCCATCAATCCACAGTCGCATAGAAGCGTCGTTTGGTGGAATAGAAAATGAAAAACACACCTGTAGAGGAAAGGAGAAAAAAAACCGAGAGTGGATATAACTTTCAGCAGCCACACAAGTAACACAATTCGCCATTGATTCGGTGACAGAAATGGGATATCTCAACTCATTAAAAATCTTTCCGCCCTTGTATGTTCCGCACTGTAAAATTCATTCAGTGAAATTGGACTTCCAGGGGCACCC